GGATCAGCAGAAGAACCCTGCAGTTCTCAGCCTAGACGGCTCGAGCAAGGTCCCTCAAAGATGCTTCCATCGGCCAACTCCGCAAAATGACAACAAAGTCGGCTGCGGGTTACTGGCTGACATAGCCACCTCCATGCCGCAAGCCTCAAATGTTGGTGAAACTCGGAAACTCTGCCAAATTATCCGCAAACTTTATGGTAAGCTCGCCACACTTAGTGACTCAGTTTGTAATGTGAATGGCGACTTAATTGCTGACGGCCCGGCAAAAGTCGAGCAGTGAGCAGGCATGGAAAAATGACTGGGGCTCGGGCATTCTTGTGCCTGTCTTTAACAACGGAGACAAGACAAATTTCAAGGCCCACCGCGGCATCAACCTCATCGATACTGTTGCAAAGGTCTTCGCTGTTGTAATTTTCAGGCGATATTTGTTACTCTAGGACGTGACCCAATCAAGCTGGGTTCCGAACTGGGCGTGGATGTGCGAACCAGATATTCACACTGAGGCGCCCTCTGGAATTCTGCCGTGGCTACCAACAACCGACAGCCGTCTGCTTCGTTGCCACGTTCGATTCCGTCAATCGCGAGTCCTTATGGCGGATAACGGGACTAGATGGTGTGTCGCCCTGAGCAAGGCCTACTATCCCTGCATCACCATGCGCATTCTAGTTTAGAACACTCTATTCCAACCGTGCGATATTCGATCTCGCGCTCGACAAGACTTATTTTGTCGCCCATTACGTTCAGCCATGGCACTGACAAAGTTCTTGGAAGGTCGTTACAGGCTTTTGACGGTGTTGAGTTTGCACCCGGACGCCGACTGACTGATCTCGACCATGCTGGTGATATCGCCCCAAAGCCTCCATGATACATAGTCTGTGATGTCACGGGCGAATGAAACCACGAAATCCGTCGGTGTATTCACAAACGCTGGGAAGACTAGTGTTTTCAAGCTGCATCTCCGACCAGGACAAGGCACCCATCAGGCGTAACGATTGTCAACTTGGAGAAGTGGGTAGTTTCAATTACCTCGGAGCGAGACTGATGTTAAATGGACAGAATAAGAACGACATCGTCTCCTGAATCGAGGTTGCTCACAGGGTTTTCTCAGTTCTAGAAAGAGCCTGTGGACCCGATGCGACGTCTTCATCGCCATGAAGACCCGCGCATACCGCACATCCGTCCAGTCAGTCCTCCTGTACGGTTGTGAATGCTTGGTTTTGCGCGTGCGAAAAGTTGGGGTATTTGACCACCACTGCCTGAGGACCATCTTTCGGGTGAAGTACTTCGGCTTCGTCTTTAGAGAGGTACGTACAATCCATGCCATCATCGATAGGGCATGATAACGCCAGTACCAAGTACAAGTGGGGTGTAGGGGTGTCAGCGGTGGGTTCACGTGAAGGTCGTAGTGGTCGCTCACTTGCTTGCAGGTGAGACTACGCCTAGCGTCCACTTGCTGGCACTCAACTCTCACCTGTGGCTCCACGTAGCTGGGCTCTGCTCAGCGGCCACACCCCGGGCAACCGTCTCGACCGGCGGGCTAAACCAGGTGAGGGCGGTTACTCCCTGTGCGCGTTGTGCCGCGTGCACAGGTGACTGCGGACTCCGTGGACGGTTGGTCGAATGGAACACCGCGTCGGCGCCGTCGTGACGAGGCTCTGTCTGACACACCGCTGGTCAGCCGGTTGGTGGTGGAACGTCGCATCGACATCGTCTAGACGAGGCTCCGCCTGGTACGCCGTTGATCAGCCGGTGGGATGGATCTCCGAATTGACACCGTCGACACGCGCCCATCTGGTGCACCGTAGGAGACCGCAGGCTTGCGGCAATGCCGTAAGCCATTGGCCAATTCGAGTCGTTCTTCCACTGCCAAAAAAACTCGTGGCCCACAGTGGAGTTCGGCCGCGCCGGCACATCAAGCAGCCCCTATTCAGGGGTCAGGGCACTGCTTCCTTCGGGGGGGCCTGGAAAAGCTGGTCTAAAAATTGCTGGGGAACCACGTCGTCTGCTGGCGCACCGTGGTCGCAGACGCAAAACTCACGGTCGAAACAATCAAACTCGAAACAACAACAACAACCATACTCATTCTCCTCATCCTACCTCTTCTGCCTCTACCTCCGTCTATTCTTCTGCCTATTCTTCTCCTTCGTCACCTTTTTGTCCACCTCCTTCCTGTCGCCCCACTCGTTTTCCCCAGACTGACAGGGTGAGCCCGCTCACTCTGGCAGCCTGGAATGTTCGTTCCCTTTTAGACAATCCGAGGAGCAACCGACCGGAACGGAGGACGGCGCTAGTGGCACGAGAACTGGCGCGCTACAAGGTGGACATCGCCGCACTCAGCGAGACCCGATTCTCCGAACAAGGCCAACTGGAGGAGGTGGGTGCCGGTTACACCTTCTTCTGGAGTGGCCGACCCAGGGCAGAGCGACGAGACGCGGGCGTCGCCTTCGCCATCCGGACCGACATCGTGGGACGACTGCCCTGTTTGCCGCAGGGAATCAACGATAGCCTGATGAGCCTCCGCCTGCCTCTCTGGGGAGGCAAATTCGCCACCATCATCAGCGCCTACGCTCCGACGATGACCAATCCCGACGCCGTCAGAGACAAATTCTACGAGGACCTGCACGCCCTCTTGGCGACTGTGTCGAAGGCGGACAAGTTGATTGTCCTTGGTGACTTCAACGCCCGCGTCGGCACAGACCATACTGCCTGGAGGGGAGTGCTGGGTCCCCACGGTCTCCGCGGCTCCAACGAATACGGCCTGCTTCTCCTCCGCACCTGCGCAGAACACCGCCTCACCCTGACGAATACCTTCTTCTGTCTGCCGGAGCGAGAGAAGGCCACCTGGAGGCATCCTCGGTCGCGTCAGTGGCACCTGCTGGACTATGTCCTCGTCCGGAGGCGAGATCAGCGGAACGCGCTGGTGACGAAGGCGATCGCGGGTGCTGACGGGTGGACCGACCATCGCCTCGTCATCTCGAAGATGCGTATTCGCCTACAGCCTCGCAGGAGACCACAAGGTAAGCGACCCCCAGGTAAGCTGAATGTTGCTTTGTTGTCTTTGCCTGCTCACCGTCTCCATTTCAGCAATGAGCTTGCTCAACGGCTAGACAACCTTCCTATCGCTGCCGCCGCCGACGACGCCGCCGCCGCTGCCGAGAACGCCTCCGTGGAGAACCGCTGGTGTCAACTGCGTGACACAGTCTAGTCGACGGCGCTCGCCGTCCTCGGTCGCGCTCCCCGCCAACACCAGGACTGGTTCGACGACAACGACGCTGCCATCAGAAATCTGCTTGCCGAGAAGAACCGCCTACACAAAGCCTACGTAGATCTACCCACTGAGGACAACAAAGCTGCCT